GTAGGAGTCTACCAAGTACTTGACCAGAGGGGAAAGGAGGACATTTTTAGGAAAGGATGGAAAAAGCAACAGCACAGAGACATACCAGTGTGCTGTTTGTTCTAGAAATGGCGAGCGGCTCGGTGTAGCTGGGGCCGACAGGGTAAGCTATGAGAGGAAAACTAAGAATGACAATAGAAGTAGAAATTGCTTATGGAGGTCAAGTACTACAAAAACTTTACCCTATGGCCCAGTGATTCTGTACAGACATGTATCCATGGCTATATCCGCACATGCATGGAATGACCTGTGTGCAAAGTTCTTTGCAGCGATACTTGCTAGACTAGCCAAGGGTCCAAGTGCCTACTAGTAGAGGACTGATTGAATAAATTGTGGATTATCTCCATAATGGACTATCAGCTGTAAAAACATATATATGTTTTATGTACAGATATTAAACATCCCTTCAGAATGTTATTAAACATTCTGAACATTGCTTGAGGAAAAAAAAACACATTGTAGCCCTTTTCTATAAGTTTAAAATTATATAGTTAAACAATCAAGTTTCAGAATAATGTATATCATGTGCTACTTTTGTAAAAAAAAAGTAAAGGTTAAGTGTTCACGTTTATGCCATTTGCATAAAGCACCATGAGGGGATGCAAAAAATTGACAGAAAGGTTTACATAACATGGAATCCGAGTTGATTGGAAGAAGGGGGAGTAAGACTTCTCACCATGAACTTTTTTTGTATCACTTAATCAGTTAATTTGAATGGGTAATCACTGAATTACCTATTCAAATGTAAAATTAGCCCTGGCTAGTGTTGGCTCAGTGAATTCAGTGCCAGCCTGTGAACCAAAGGGTTGCTGGTTCGACTCCTGGTCAGGACACATGCCTGGCTGTGGGCCGAGTCCTTAGTTGGAGGTGTGCAAGAGGCAGCCAGCTGATGTTTCTCTCTTATATTGATGTTTTTCTCCTTCTTCCTTCCTCCATTCCCCTCTCTTTGAAAGTAAATAAATAAAATCTAAAAAAATGTAAAATTACATTAAATGGTACCTTTGCCCAAATGAATTAAAAATTTATGTCCATAAAAAAACCCTACACACAAATGCCCATAGCAACGTATTCATTGCTAGCAAAACGTAGATGCAACGAAGAGGCCCTTCAACAGATGAAGAAAAAATAAACTGCGGGACACCCAGACATGGACTATTATTCAGCACTGGAAAGAAATGCACTACCAAGACGTGTGAAAGACGACAATATGAGAAGACTATATACTGTATGTGTCCAACTACCCGGCATTCTAGGAAGGGCAAAATGATGGAGACAGTGAGCAGACCAGCGGTCGCCAGGGGCTGAGAGGAGAGGGATGAATAGCGGGACACGGAGGACTTCCGGGGCAGTGGAAATGCTCTAGAGGACACTGTAAGGGCGGCCCCATGCCATTACACAACCGTCCAAACCCTTAGGAGGCACAACACCCAGGGTGAACCTTCAGTAAACTGGGGCAGGTGTCAGTGCTAGCTCAGCCATGGCAAAATGTGTTCCGCACCAAGACATGATGTTCGTAATCAGGGAAACCGGGAGGCGGGGGTGGGGGTGGTGCAGGGTTATATATAGGAACTCGCTGTACTTTCTGCTCATGTTTCTGTAAACCTAAAACTGCTCTAAAAAAATAAGTCTCTGAATTTGAAAGAGAGGAGAGAAAGGAAGAGCGAGTGGGGTGCCAGTTGGGTGGGGTCCCGGATGGCGTACAAAGCAGCCTGGGCTCTCAGCCTGTAAACACAGCCCAGCGGTTCTAAACAAGGCAGTGACAGAGCTGTGCTCCGGGGAAGAACCTGGTGACCCCAAAAGGGATGAGACTCCAGGACAAAGAGGCTGGGGCACCCGTAAGCAGATTGTGGAAGGGAGAGGGGGTGTGTCTGAACAAGATGGGGGTGGTGGGGAAGATGGGGACCCAGGAGAGGAAGCAGCAGGACTCAGTGACAGCTGTCCCTGTGCACGAGGGGACGAGTGGGAATGTTTCCCTCCTGTTTCCAGATTAAACTGTGTGGCAAGCAATGGAACTGTCAGAGGAAACAGCAAATGGGATGGGGAAAATGAACTTGGTTTCGGACAGGTGAGGTTATTTCAGCCGCAGAATATGAATGTGGAAAGGTGCAGAGGCAGCTCAAGACACAGGCATGCAACTCACAAAGAGGGCAGAGCTGCCCGAGACACTAGTTCTGGGGTGTATCAGACCACACCTATTTATGCAAGAGACACAATTTAACCTATGGTGTATTCGAGTAATAATACACCAGGGGCTAACTAGTGCAAAGAATCTATTTCCTAAAATGAAAATAACCATGGCACTAAAATATTAATTAACTAGCCTGTCCCCCAAAAAGGAAAACAGATTTTTGTAAAGTATTTATTTCAGACATATTTATACAATAGTCACCTCTATTCTGCAGGGTATACCTTCCAAGACCCCCAGCAGGTGTCTGACAGCACTGAACCTATGTACACAGCATTTTAGTTTCTTTACAGTCATACCTAGAACAAGTTTATCAATTAGGCACAGTAAAAGATTAACAACAATAACTAATGATAAACTAAAACAATTAAAACAAAACACTCATTCAAAGAACATCAGCACCCCTATGTCCATTGTAGTGTTATTTGCAATCACCAAGATGTGGAAGCAGCCCAAGTGTCCACCAGTAGATGAGTGGATAAAACAACCATGGGACATTTACACAATAGAATACTACTCAGCCATAAAAAAAGAAAGATTTACCTTTTTGTGACAGCATGGATGGACCTGGAAAATATTATGCTAAGTGAAATAGCCACTCAGAAAAAGCCAAGTACCATATGATTTCACTCATATGTGGAATCTACTGAAGAAACTGAACTACCAAGCAAAATAAAGACAGACTCATAGACGGAGAGCAGATGACAGCTAAGGCAGGGGGTTAGGTGTAGAGGGATTGAGCAAAAAGGAAAAAGGACTCATAGACATGGACAACAGTGTGATGACTGTGGGGGGAAGGGAGTTTAAAGGGACTAAATGGTAATGGAAAGAATACAGTAAACATTCATTTGAAAAAATCAATATACTATAATAAAACTTATGTGAATGCGGCCTCTCTCTCAAAGTATCTTATCGGACTGTACTCACCCTTCTTCTTGTGGTGATGTGACATGATAAAATGCCTTATTAGGTCGAGAACTTTTTCACTTTTTTACTTAAAGGAAGCACTTTACAGCTTCCCTTTGGCACTTGCAAAGTGCTAGCATCACTATACTTGCTTGTGCTTTGGGTTCATTATTAAGTAAAATAAGGGTGACTTGAATACAAGCACTGGGATGCTATGACAATCTGAATCCAAGATGGCTACTAAGTGACTGAAAAAACTTTCAACAAAATTTAACACCTATTCCTGGTATTTTTTAAATAGGAATTGATATATATTTTTAAACTTGATAGGGCTATGTAATTCTCGGTCCCAAAGCCAGAGTCTTACTTAACAGGGAGGCATTGGAGGGTGCCCTACGCAGGGCAGGCACAAAGGCAGAGAAGCCCACTATCTCCACCACTATTAACATTGAACCCAAGCCACTGTCCAATCAGACAAGAAAATAATGGGAGAGTCAACAAAGAGCAATCAAACTATCTCCATTTGCAGGTGTTATAGCAATATACCTGGAAAACCCAAAAGAATTGATAACAAGAGTGGACATAACCAGTGAAAGAATGTTAGTAAAAGAGCAAAATGTAAAATTAACAAAATAATCACCGTAGAAGTTTGACAACATACTCTGGGAATACAGAAAAGTGAAGGTGGTCAGACATTGCTGGTGGGGATGCAAAACGGTAGACCACCTCCGGAAGGAGGTTGGATAATATCTAACAAAAACACACACTTATTTACCCTGTGACCAGCAAACACACTTCTAGGCACTGATCCCAAAGAAATACTGACAAAAACTGTTTTATTTAAGCACTCAAAATAGAAATTGATGAATAATTTTTAAACATAATGAAAACACATAAACCAAGGCCAGACACCATGACAGATAAAGTTTTAGCACTGTTCATAACAGTAAAACACTGGAAACAACCCATGTTTCTGGCAACATGGGATGGATTAAACAATGCACAACCACAGAACGGAACACCATGCAGCTCTCAATGAGGAATGAAGACATCTCTGTGTGCCACGTGGAGTGATCGCTAAGATCTGGTTTTAGTTGAAGAAAGCGAAACGAAGAGAAGTGCGTGCACAGGACAGGCTACCGTTCATCCGAGAAAGGAGGAGAGGGCCTGGGTGGATATGCACGGCAGGTGTGTGTACTTCATTCCCCACACAGGTCACTTTTTAATGAAAGAATCAACCAGAAAACTTTCCAAGCATGGTTACCAATGGGCGAAAAAGGAAATGGAGCAGAGGAGAAAAACAGAAGCTAGACTTCTAGGAACACACAGGCATCCCTGGGTTTATTATGCTGCGCTTTGCTGTGCTTCACACCTGTTGCTGTCTTTTTGTTTTTGTTCTCAGTGGCAGCTGACACACAATAATATTTAGTTTCAGGTGTACAACACAGTGATTACACATTTATATAACTTCCAAAGAGATCACCCCCAATCAACCTAGTACTCAACAGAGGTTATGTTTTTACAAAATGAAGGACATATACTCCACCAGCAAAAGACATTGGCTTGATTGCTCTGGTCTGGAACTAAACCTACAACATCTCCAAAGTGTGCCTGTGCCTTGTAGACTTGACTTCAGAACCATGTAAATATTTTACTTAATTACAAAATAAGGGCCATAGCAGCAAACACAGACTTCCCCATATGACCCTGTTTTGAAGGCTATAAACTAACCTAACGCTAAGGGGAATCAACAGAGCCGGTGTGACAGCTCAGACCAGTGAGCAGCCTCCAGGAAAGAAGTGAAGGCATGCCGGGCCAGGCAAGAGGAAGAGAACACAGGCTCCCCGAGAGACTGCAACGCATCACTTACCTCCACCTTGCTCCCCGGTTCGTGATCGGCAGCTGGGAAATACACAACCTCTTGCACTTCATCCCTGGGCCGAGCTGAATTTTTCCCAAATACCACCAGACCATCCTTAGCACGCGGTGGGAAGGCCACCAAACAGCAGCTTGGAGGGGCAACAGCCATGCTGAAAAGAGAGCAGACATCAGAGACAGAGTGGAAGTGGGTCTAACGTGGCACACGCCGACGGTGAATTCTAGCATATTTCATCAGGTGATGTGGTCCCCGTATTGAACTGTGTGCATCTAGCTCATTAGGAGATCCCAGCTGGCAACTGAAGGTGGGGTGCCTGGAGTAGAATTACAAAGCCACCAAGACCAGATAATGCTTAGTATTCCATGGGATTAAACGAGCTCCAGTGGCAACAGGCGGCAGTGCCAGCCAAAAGTGCAGTGACGTCAGAGAAGGGAAAGTAGGTTATTGTTCCGGGAAGAATGCACACGCTCGCTGCAGTCTGCCATAGCAACAAAGAAATAAGTACACATGCCTTGTGACAGTGCCCCACTGAGGTGCCTCAGATCTAGGGGTGCCTGGCTGCCATGTAATAGGTTTTGGAGTGATGGTGGAAATGGGTCTAAATTTAGGTTGAAAGAGACTCCCCTTTTTATATATTTTTACACGGTCTCAGGGGCACAATACTCAAGCACATCCTGGTTTCCCTCCCAGCTCTCCAACTGGCTGGTTCTCCTCTACCTGCTCGTTGAGCACCCTCCCTGCTCGATCCTTCTTTCCTCCTTTAATGCTCTCTTCTCCCTGGGGAAACTTCTCCCCGCTCAGACCTACCCTTGTTGCTTACATGCCAGTGGCCCACACCTGTAATTGCAGCTCAGTTATCTGCTTGCTCTCCCAAGTCAACTGCCTATGGGATACCCAGAACAGATCCTGTCATTTCCCCAAGCCGGTCCCACTTCCGAAGTTCCCACTGCATGACCAGCTCCACATCCAGCCCACAAGAATATTGAGAACTCAGGAACCATCTTACCATCTGCTTCTCTATTGGCTAACATGCCACCAAGTAGGTTCAGTCTCCTAAGTCTCCATGGAAACTGTCCACTTCTCTCTACCTCCACAACCCACCCCTTGCACCCTCACCTCTAGCCTGGATCACTGCTGTAGCTTCCCAGCGGTGGCTTCATAACAGCTATTATTGCCCCTCCAGAACATCCTCCACACTGTGGCCAAAGTGATCTTTTTAACAGGAAGATTTTTTTCATGTCATTTCTGCTTAAAAATTTTTACAGGTTTCCCAAAGGTCTTTGAAGAAAGACCAACGTCTGATGGAGCTCAGGCCCCCTCCCCAGCCTCATTTCCGGCCACACACCCCTCCATTCTCTCATCTCTGGCACACAGGCCTTTCTCCTGACCCTCCAGCATGCCCAGGGCCTTTGCATAGGCTGCACCCTCTTTCTTGAACTCTTCTGTCCCTGCTCCCTGCACCAAAACCATCTGCCTCGTTAACTACTGCTCCTTCACATACCAGCTCAAGTGCCATGCTAATTTATGATGCCAGATGATACAATCAAATCTGAAATGTTGAGTAACTATTTTATTACCAACAATCAATAGTTAGCCTCCCCCCCCCGACCCCAGCCCACCCCCAAGTCTAAGCAGCATGAAGGAAAGGACCATGTCTCCTTCACACATACTGCTGTCAACCCAGCTCTACACAATGTCTTCTGCAGGGTAGACTTTCAATAAATAATGAGCCAGTGTTCAGCTCTCTTTTGTTAATAGTCTGACAAACCACAGCTAACTCTCTACAACTCTTTCTTCTCACCATGTGTCTGCACCTGCTAGAAGGAATGCCCTTCTCTTAGTTTTTGTGGATATCTGAAAAAAATCTGATTCAAAATCAGATTTTTTCTTTCAAAAAACCATCTATAAAAAAAACCTTGGTCATTTCTCAGCATCCATAAGCACTACGGTATCCAGTTCCTTTCAGGATAATGTGCACTTGTTGCTTGTAAGTGTACTGCCTCCTCTCCACAGAAAGCTCCCTTAGGGCAGGAGCCAAGCCACCCAACTACAGTTGCTCTTTCCCCTGCCCCCGTGTCATAGGCACTCAACAAACATTCTCTATCAAGCCAACTATAATATTTGTGTCATTAGTCACCCAACTTAAATGTATTTTATCTTACAAATCCAAACTGCAAGTGAGAAGTAAAGTAATGTTCTCAGAAAAGCAACTGGGATTTGAATCTCAGCTCCACTACCTAAATACAACTGTGTGACCCTGAGCAAATCACTTTCCCTCTCTGAGCCTAGGTTTTCTCTCCTGCAGAAGTTTTGCCCCAGCACACAAGTTTATCATGAGTATCAAAAGACATGATGTTGGACAACATAGTTTACAAACTGTCAAGGCTACAGGACTGTAAGATGTTTTATTTGGGGTTTGATTGTTCAAATAGAGCAGCATCTCAACATTTCTGTTCAGCAAGCCAATCAAAACCAACTCTCCTCACTCATAACTGGAGCTTACCAAATTGCAGAGTCAGCAACGTTCTGTGTTTAGAAACACTTGGTGAGGGACCACCTTGGTCTGTCTGCTGCATCCAGGCTACTTTAATGTACCTGTACTTGCACACCCAGGGCTGTGAGAGTTCTTCCCTGCCTTGCTCATGGTAACTCTGTGCACAATTCCCTCTGGGCTCAGAGAAATGGGCCCTCTCCCCTTTGTGAGAAAGAAAAGGCAGGAAGATAAAGAGACTCCAGTTCTTTCTCCCCTTAACGCCTCCAATTTTCACAAACACTGCATTATCTTCAGACTGCAGGGGTAGAGAGAAAGAAACAAAGACTCTGCATGTAAGGAAGACCCAGGATGATGATGAGATTAAATGCCCAGACAGAGAGTTCCTAGAACCAGGGGGTGGGAGCAATGACTGGCTGAGCCGGATGAAGTGAAACGGACCCAGAAGAAGATACGATGGAGAAAGGACGCCTTCAGCAGGGCCTGTCTGCCCCTGGTATGTAATATCACTTCCCCTCCTCCCCTGTTATTGGACCATTTCAAAAGTACCACTCATCCATGCCTCAAAAGTAGGCCTCATCTGTGAGAAAAGCTTACTTTATTTGATCCTCAAAAATAGAAGGAATCTACTGGTCTTGAAGTTATGAGATGTATCTACAGAAAATCAATAAAACCAGAGCGATTTCAACAAGCACCCCCTCTTCAGCCAGGACATCTGCGTGGTCAGCTTGACCGAGTCACCTGGGTCACGTGGCCACAGCGAGGATGTAGGCGACAGAAGCCCAGGGGCATTGGGTCAGGAAGGCTGATTTTCCACGGAGTTTTGTGAGTCATTGGGAATGCCAGAAGGAAGCTGAATTTTAATATTGTTGTTATCATTGTTGTTGTTGTTTTAATGCAAGAAGAACCAGCAAGCTGTGGGTCAGAACAAGCAGCCAACTAGCCGAAGCTAACCATCCACTTATTTCTCCTGGATCACCATTCCACACTGAAGCTGCAGCGATGGCTTCACTGATCCTTTCCTACTCTCTCGACCAGTGCTGGGCAGAAGAGCTCCCTACAATGATAGGGACGCCCCATCTCTAACCATCCAATACGGTGCCTACTACACTCATGTGGCTATTGAAGTGCAGTTAGCGTGATTAGAAAAATGAACTTTTAATCTTATCACAAACTTTAATTTGTTTAAATTTAAATAGTCACATGTGGGTAGTAGGAAGTCTCCGCATTATAACTTCCCAATAAACTGAGAAATGAAGATTTTCATACTGAGGCTTCTCATGGTCCCATGAGTACTTACTTGTGAAATCACCCACTTAGTCTAATGACAAAATGTGCTGTCATCCATATAACATGAACTAGCAAAGAGGAAGCAGGACACTTTCAGAAGAGACTGAAGAAAAGCAATATTGGGAAGCAGCTCTTTTCTGCAGAAACTAAGGTGATCAGAGCCCTGGAGGCCAAGTCCATTTTCTTTAATGTAAACCTCATACTCCCAACTCCAAGTACACAGGGAAGGTGGTCCTCATTGCTTTCTGGAAAACCTCTGGGCACTTTCCAGGTCAATTCTTCCTTTCATCTCTGCCCTGAATGAACTTTTGATCCTTTCACTTCTCTTCAAACCTCCGACCACTTCCTCTAAGCTGGTATCTCACCTCTTATTCCACAAAGGACAGAGGCTGGGGAGGAAGACGGTCTCAGAGAGATAATATGCAGGTTTGAAGGCCCTGTGGCTGGGGAAAAGGGGAGGAGTGAATAAGTTAAAAAAAAAAAAAAAACAGTGAAGCTGAGGCTGGAGAGAATCAGGGAAGAGGCCAGAGAGGCAGACAGGCTGGTCCATGTTGGGTGAAGGTCATGGCAAGGATTTAGTGTCTATCCCAAATAAACACTAAAGCTGCTGAAGGCTTTTAGGCCGGGTTTTAGGTCGGAAGTGGAGCCATTGCATATAAACGACTTTTCAAAGAAGTTCGCTGCAGTAGGGAGGAGACAGTTCCTTGGACAGAGATAAAAGAATTGATAAGAAATTCCATTTCTGTTTCTACCCTAAGGAAATGGTCAGAAATACGGACAAGATTTGTGCATAAAACCATTCATTACAGAGGTATTAATACAGACAAAAACTGACTAAAAGTTAATTGCTCAGCAACAGTGAAATGGATAAAATTCATGCTATTTTACATTACATGGTGAATTACTATGAAACCACTAGAAAATATGTTTGTGAAGAGGTTTTAATTGCATGGCAAAAATGGTTTTGAAAGAAGGCCCAAAATAAATTATTTCACTTTGGAAAAATATGCATGGAAATAGACTAGAAGAAAATGTGCCCCAAATATTAATAGTGGTACTCCAACCACTGACTTCTACGAGTCTTCATATTTTTCTTTAGTTTCCAATTTTCCTACAGGTATTTGTACCTACATGATCACAAAAACCATTTCAAAAAAATAAACCCAGGGGACATTACCAATTTTGGAATTTTATTTTTAAAGAAAAGATTGGCTCTACTTCTGTGTCCTAACACATCTAAAATGCCAAAACTGGCAAAGTTTTATGTAAGTAATATTTAAGATGAAATTTTTTATTTGTCATTATTACAGTTATTCTCAGATGCTTTCTTTTCTTTTCTTTTTTTTTTTACGGCGTGCCCAGTTCAGGGG